CGTCAATGATGCTGCCCAGGTATGTAAGGATACTACCAAGATTAGTAAGGATTTACTACTGTTTTTGAACACATTAATTTGGTTTCAGAAGTTTGATTGCTGTAGCTTCAACATATTCCAAATGATGATAACTGCGTTATCTACTAATCACCCTGGAAGACTTCAGTCGATCTAACTGATGTCCTGTATCAAACAGATGTCTCAAGATGCCATTGATGAATTCCTAACTCAATAAACGGAATTCAGATTATATTCTGAAAGAGTGAATTAGTGAGTGTGTTGACCGCTTCACTTATCTGAGGAGTTTCATCAGCACTGATGGTCTGATGTGTGATGAAATCTCAGCGCGGGTACAGAATGTTCAACTGGCTTTTGCCAATTTGCGTCACCTATGGCGTAGGAGAGATATTCGTTTATACTAACCAAAGGACGAATCTACTACGCAGCAGTTCGCTCCTTTCTACTATATGGATGCGAAACATGGCCGATAAGAGTAGAAGATATTCACAGGTTACTGGTTTTCGATCATCGATGTCTTCGAAGCATTACTCATTTATCCTGGGACAACCGAGTAAAGAATGCAGTTGTTAGGAAACGGTTACTAGGTAAGGATGGCAGATCAATAGATGAAGTAGTGAAACTTTATCAGTTGAGGTGGTTGGGACATGTGTTACGAATGCCCAACCACTGACAGCCCCGTAGAGCTGTGTTTTTATGGTGTAGGTATAGGTTGGTAGAAAGCTAGGAGCGGCCAAACCAAGACATGTCACAAATTCATGAAGTCACTAACCAGTGGACTGAACCATGTTAGTAGGTGTAGACTATCTGGTTATGGTTGGCAAGACAATCGTAACCGTTAGTTAGAGACCTTAAACGGCATGGCTCAAAGTCGTTTTCATTGTCACAGATCCATACATCCTTTGTGTTCTCTCAAATTCTTATCTTCTGTATTCCTCATCACCTCCATCTTTCGCTTTTTAAATTTATTTCATTATATTATACTCCTTGACTAATATCTTCGAACCCTAATCTTCTCCATTACCGTTAATACTTCTACTATCTCTATGACTCTAGGATTTGAACTGACAGTTTCATCTCTGTGTGCTAATGTGGTATGGCAACGCAAAATGATGAAGGTACGTACGAAATTCTACGTTGTAGCTGACTGACTGACTGAATTACTCAAATAAGAATAATCATGGAAATTCTATTGTTAGAAACTGATCAATTACCATAACAATGGAGAAAATCAAACTCTCACAGCATACATATAATAAAACAAAATAGAATCTTTTTTTTCAAAAAAAAATTCATTGTTCAATCTCTTTTTTCTTTGTAATTAAAATTTCAAAAGTTAATTTTGTCTAGTCAAATTTATTAATTAATCAAAACCTCTATGCAAAATCTATGTTTAACTACTTTCATATATCTATCTATAAACGTGTTTCCACATCTCATCATAATCATACATACTAACTCTGCGTATACACACACACACACACTTACACACACCGTACATTAACTCATACAAATTGTATGTGTGTCTGTGAGTGTGTGTTGTAATATATTGAAAAAGATGATTACACATGATTTGTTATTCTCATTGCCTTCACTATTGAACACCTCGGTGACAGCATCAACATACTTTGCTTTATATGTATATATATATATAGTTTTTACTAGTAGACGACATTTAGTCGCATGCGCGCGCTAGAGAGAGTGAGAAAGGATAAAATATTGTTTGAGCTTCTTATATATGCGTACCGATAGAATTTTGCCCAATCAAAATGAAACTTCATTAAATTAATCTGCCAGACAGACGACATATGAGCATATTGTCTGCTCAGATGTGTATATTGCCTTCAATTATACATAAGAGTAAGAGACAGAGAGCTATGCACACACAAAAAAATCCAGGTTCTCATTGAAAATTGATCCATGTCAGACTATTATTGTAAACTGGAAAGCAGTAGAAGGTTATTTTGTCCAGGAATGAAACTCCTCAGTGGTGGTGGTGGTCGAGGGGGTAGTTCGTATCCACTACATTGTATGTTGGGAATCGAACTCGAGTACCTTCGGATCTCGCATACAAATGCTTAATAATTAGATCGTTGAGACGGTAACGTCTAACTTCAATCAATCCATGATATTGCGTGACCTTATTCATTGTCCTTTTGGTCCTGGGTTTGATTCCTGCTTGTGGCGTGGTGGATGCTCACTGGTATTGAGGAGTCCTGTAACAGGATTAAATGGCCGTCCATCGGTTTTAGGTTTCTAATACTGGTCTAACATTGATCAATTCATGATCTCGATGAGATGATAAATTCAACAGGGTCTCGACAGCTGGCAACTTCTCCTGGGGCCCTTCTTGGGCTACTTCCGGTCCCAAGCGATACCATCCCGTAGACAACTAACTCGCTAAAAAAAACTAGTATGGATAAGTAACAGTACGAAACTAAACTAACTGTTTAAATTTCTTCTCACTCACTCACTATCTTGCATATTATTTAAAAAAAGCCCTTACTTTTCAACTGAATATATTGGAAAATTATTAAAAATCAACAAGAATTCTTAATATATATATATTTCATTTTACTATGGTTTTCTCTGACATTAATGTTTTCATATACTTACCTACTTACGCCTGTTACCCCTTGTGAAGCAGCATAAGTCGCCGACCAGTATTGTCTAGTCTACTCTGTCCTGGCCATTTCTTTCTAGTTCTATCCAATTGCTGTTCATCCTTATCATATCTGTCTCCAATTCTCAGCGTAATTTGTTCTTTCATCTTCCTCTTCACTGTCAGCCTTGAGAATTCCAAGTGAAGGCTTGTCTTGTGAACATGCACGTCTTCACTAGGGATTAAACTTGTATAATACTAGTCTGTGACACATTAAGCTAGTTTCTGAAAACAAATCTCTCATTGAAATTCAAAAATTTTGTAATGTTCCATGAAAATTTGACAGAATATATGTACACATTTGAAATCATCAACTAATCATTGTTCGACCACCATTAGAAGAAACCTGGAAGCACTGGACGGCCGTTTCGTCCTGGTATGGGACTGATCAGCACGACCCCTGCACCTCGCAGGATTCGAACCCGGGACCTTCGGTATTGTGCGCGAACGCCTTAACCACTGGGCCGGCATCCAACGGTGTTAATGTCTAACTCTGATTGATCTACGGATTTTGCGCGACCTCATGATAGTGTACATAAATTCCTGTTTAATAAATCAATCACATCGGTTTCATTTTTATCAGACCAAGTTTAGTTTTGACTTGGAACTTTTTTTCACTTCAGTTTTAATGATATAATGAACAGTACTAGTATCATGATACTCTGTTCTCTAGTTGTTTGTACTAAAGTATGTATGTCACATTTGCACAACTTAACCTCAATAGGTGGTGGTTACATAATTTGATTCAATGATGTTGTGTTGATATTCACATTGACACTTGTACACAATACCTGTCGCTGCGGCCAATGTCCCCAATCCATTATCCGAAAAATGACTAATATCGATCCAGTTTTACTCATCCACATGGTGTATTGGTGGTATTAAGGAAAATGATGTTCTCTCTAGGTTTAGAACCCGCATCTGAAACATTATTTATTACTAAACTTGTGTTTACATGTTCACATTAATTGATCGCTAAGTTGTAACCAGCTTCATTTCTGTCTAAGTCCTAATGTTGATCAGATTCTATAGACTTGTTTTGAAATCATGAATGAATCATTGTTAGACCATTATTAGAAACCTGGAAGCACTGAAAGACGACCATTTCGTCCTGGTATGTGACTTATCAGCAGTGCGTATCTACGATTCCACTAAAAGGACTCGAACTCAGGACGTCCAGTCTTGCGTGCAGACGCCTAACCACCTCTGGACCACTGTGTTGGCATTCAGCGGTGTTAATGTCTAACTATGACCAATCTAAGTATTTTGCGCAACCTCACTCATTGTCGTCGGTAGTTAAGGCCTAAGCCCGACAGGATTGAACTCCACTGGTCACGCCTTGCTTGAATTCGTGATCTGCCAGACGAGTCTAAACGTATCATATATCTGTTCTTAGAGCCTCGTGTATTTTGAAGCCTACTGCTGCTACATTGGCCTTCTTCATCGAAGATTTAAATCATCTGTGAAATCCAAGTTGTCAAGTCCGCGAGATGATAATAATCGATGGTTAGAGACCTTGAATGACATGGCTCAAAATCGTTCGCAATGGCGCCGGTGCATTTATTCTTTGTGTTCTCGCAAATCCTAATCTTCTTGATTATTCAACCCCTCTAGTTTTGACTTTCTAAACTTTTCTCATTGAATCATACTTGTTGAATAATATCTTCTAATCCTAACCTCTTCGATTACTTCTAATACTTTTACTACCTCTTCTACTATTGGATTTGAACTGACAGTTACATCTCTGTGCTGATGTGATATGGCAACATGAACTGATGTACTTACGTACGAAGTTCTACGTTACATCTGACTGACCTGACTGAAATTGTCAAGTTGCATCTATAAGTACATTTTGTGTTTCTTTGGACAGCATCAGTACAACTACTTGTGTGTGTGTAGCATTTCCTTCTTGATGGCCCGATTAAAACAACAACAACTCTCCTGATGCAGCCTGCATCCAATATGTACTCTTATTCCAAGTACCATCAGATTGTATCTTTTCATTTACCTAGCAACTTGAATGCTTCTTCTGATCTCTTTCACAACGTACGAACACTCCATGTACTCATATTATTGTTGCTGTGTTTGTCAAAAAGGATATCAGCTTCATGACTTCTCTTTTAAATGAAAATCTTGCAACTTCTAGAGCTAACCCCATACGCAACACTCCTTCTTTGTCTGAGATTGAAACCCTAACCCTAACCCTAGAATTGTATCCAACTAGAGTAACACTATGTTAACGTTCTCTACTGCTACCGATCGGAATTATGGCTAATTATCTGCGGATATATATGTTTGTCTGTATCTTATTACTTTTCAGCAATTTCTTCATGTCAATCAGTAACTTTTGAAAAAGATAACGATAACTTGGCACATGTCGATTTCGTTATGTCAGCTGCAGTAAGTGTTTCTTGTTTTGCTTCTCTTTGTATATTTTATTCATATTTTGTATGGTGGATGCTACTCACAAGTAGTATATAAGTAATATGTGGCGGACCGTTGGTTGGAAGATACTATCAGAGAGGGTTAAGCAATTGAAACGCATAGCACAATCATAGTACATTGTAGACTGGGAGAGATGTAAGTGCAGACAGTAAACAGCCTGTATGAAGATTACGTGTACACGTGTGACAGAATACAGTCAACTACCCGCTTGGATTTCGAATAAATGTTGTTGAAAATCACTTGTATATATTTTGTAAATTATCTGTATCTTCAAATGTTTATATTCCATCCGACTGGTGTTGTTAGACCATTATTAACAACTTAGAAACACTGAAATACTGTCGTTTTGACCCGGTGTCGGACCAGTGGAGCTCAGCCCTGGCTGGTGTAGGCAGTCACTTGTTAAAGACATTGGGTGAGATTGAGCGACACCTTGGATTGACCAAAGTTAGACATTAACACCGTTGGATGCTGGCTTAGCGGTCCCGAGGTTAGGCGTTTTCGCACTCGAAATCGAGGGTACTGGGTTCTACTCCTGCGAGCGGGCAGTGGATGCTCACTGCTTATGAGTCCCATACTAGAGAAGAAATGGCTGACCAGTGCCTTCAAATTTCTAATTATGGTCTAACAATGATCGATTCATCTTTTCAATAGAACTATAATGATATATATATATATATATATATATATATATATATATATATATAATATTTTAGGGAATTAAGCCTCTCAAACGTGCATGTCTCTGGAGCAACTGGGTACCCTAACCCAAGTATTCCCTATCAAACTTATGTATGTATGTATGTATACTCTATTCATCCCCTCATGATTCCGCAATATATATATACGTCATTTGTTTGGAATCATGGTTTTTCAACTCCCTGTATATCAATAAGTTTAGTTTAAGTGTCAAACGTTTATCTTTTTTCTCTTAGTACTTCTCTAGTATTGGTGTTCCTTGAACCCAGATTTTTATGATGCACAGTGTTTGTGAGATCTAAACATTATACGTACTGACCCACCTCATCCAAACTGACTACTTGATCGAGAAGGCAAAAGTGGCAGAGAGTAGTTTACCTTACTATCGAATAGTATGTGCAAACATATTTGTCTAAAACAAACTCATTATATCCAGTCGTCCTTTGGCACACTCACTCTAGACTATCATCAACTAACCTTCTCGTTCGACTACATCTGATTGACTCGTCTATATCACAAAACTGATTACTTCAAACAATACTGATCATTGTAATCAAATAGTATTTCTAGTGTTTAAATCGACGTACTTCAGGTTCGAGTCTCAATGTGGATGGAAATCAATTGTGAGATATTAATTCATTTGATATCCTCTAGTTATTAAATTTAGTCGATTTCTTTTCGCGTCTTCTATCCACTGTATGATTTTCACAGTTTAAGTTGCAAACCTGAAAAGACTGAAACGAACTGATACATAGGAGTCGAACCGACGGCCTGTGGTCTTGTGCATGAACAATGATTCAGCCTTTTAAAACTGGGCCAGTATTCCACTGTGTTAATATCTAGTTCAAACCACTTCGCGGGTTAGTACAATCCTCATTTTGAAGGTTAAATGTTCATACGCAAGACCATAGGTTCGATTTCCGTGTGTAGGGTTGAGAATACGTACCTGTGCTAAGATGAAATGTCCATTCAGTGCTTCTGGGTTTTTAATGGCAGTTCAGCCAAAATCAGTCTTTAGTCTAAACTGTGAAAAATTTTAAAATCTCCGTTAATTCTTCATACCTTTGATGGAGTTTCGTTCTTTGAGCTGTATGTTTTGGTTGTGGAGCTTTCATTGTATCCTCACTTTGATCTGTTTCTTGATTCTATGTTTGTCTATGATTTTTCTAATTGATTGATCAGTTGGGTCAATGTCCAATTGTTTGTTGATTACTGATTGACTTGAAACCGAGGAGGACAGCAGAACAAGCTACGAGTCGTATACGTATGTGGACAGACAGACAGACAGACAGATACAATGCAGAACTTCGTACATAAGTACATCAGTTCATGTTGCCATACCACATCAGCACACGGACGCAACTGTCAGTTCAAATCCCATATTAGTAGTGATAGTAGAAGTATTAGCAGTAATGGAGAAGATTAGGTAGCGAAGACATGATTTGAGAAGTATAATTCAGTAAGATAAATTTAGAAGGAGTAAGGTAGAGATTATGAGGAATTCAGATGGTTAGAATTTGAGAGAACACAAAGAGTGGATGCACCTGCGCCATTGCAAACGATTCTGAGCCATTTCCTTCAAGGTCTCTAACCATCGATTACTATCGTCTCGCGTAGCCCAACCAGATAGCCTACATCTACCAATATGACTCAGTCCACTTGTCAGTGACTTCATGGATTTGTGCCATGTTTTGGTTTGGCCACCCCTAGCTTTCTTCCAACTTACTCCTATACCACCAAAACATAGCTCGTCGAGGCAGTCGATGGTTGGGCATATGCAACACATCCCAACCACCTCAACTGATGAAGTTTCATTACTTCATCGAAGGATTTTCCATCCTTACCTAGCACCCGTTTCCTAAGTTCTAGTTAAGAATGGAACTTAGGAAAATAATTCCAATCCTGCGAGGTGCAGCAGTCATGAATGCACACTGCCACTGATGAGTGGTGGTCCCTTACCAAAATGAAACGACCGTCTTTCAATGGTGTAGTCTAACAATGATATTGATTCATGATTTCGAATGTGTAAAAACACTCATAAGTGAAAAAATTTATTGATTGTTTTAGTTTAAATTATTTCTAAACAAAAAATTTTGTTTTGGAAAACGTTTCAACGTTTGTTTATTTTCCTCGAAAAACAATGTCATTTTTAAACAATAATTATTCATTGTTTACATAAACTGTATGTAATTCAATTGTTCAATTAGAAAAAATAACCGGAAATTTTTGTTTTTATTGTTTAAAATTAAACAGACGGTGAACAATAAAAAGTATACAATTCACATAATTATATCATTTTAATAATAAAATATGTGTTTACTTTCAATCATCAACTAAAACCCCCCACCACAAGTCACACGTACGATTAATTTGTTTTGTGATTGTCATTGTTTATGATAAGTGTGTCTGAAATCATGAAAAACGTGTAAGCACAATGGAAGGCTATTTTGTCCCTAGAATGGGACTCTTCATCAATGGTAGTGCGCATTCACCGCAACCTTGCCATGTAAGGAATCGAACCCAAGTACCTTCGGTCTGGCATGGGGACGCTTAACCTTGTGGTTGTGGTGATGGTGTTTGGTTCTCTGAGCTGGATGTTTTGGTTGTGGAGCTTTCATTGTTCTTCTTCTGAACAACAACATGATCAGCACAAACTTCAGATAGCAGAAGTAAAGCAAAAGGTGCAAACAACGACAGGTTTAAGGTCAATAACAGCAATCAATCAAGATCGAGGTTAACAGAACAAGCTACCAGTCAAACGTGGAGAAATTCGAATACTTCACTTCTGCTATCTGAAGTTTGTGCTGATGAGGATGTTGTTCAGAAGAAGAACAATGAAAGCTCCACAACCAAAACACTCAGCTCAGAGAACCAAACACCACCACCATAATGATCCACCTGAGCTACAAATCTTCTCCACCATTCCAGAACGCTTAACCTGTTTGACCAATAATGAGTCGATATCCTATGGTGTTATTGTTCAATTTGAATTAAAATCCATGATATTGCACGATGATTGTCCATTCCAACTTTGAGAATTTCCTTGAGAAACTAGTCACTAGTGAACACTTAATAATTGTCAGTATAGAACTGGCTCAGTGGTCAACAGAATAATCGTTCCTTGCGTGCAAAACTGAAGATTCTGGGTCTGATTGCTGCTTATGAGGTCGTGGATGATGAGTCCCGCACTAGGACGAAATGTCTGTCTAATGCTTCGAGGTTTCTAATCTGGGTCCACAACTCCTGTTATACACAGGATTCGAACTCAGGACCTCCAGACTTCACTGAACGACATGGCTCATAGTCGATCGCAATGGTGCAGGTGCATCCACTCTTTGTCTTCTCTCAAATTCTAATCTTTTGAATTCCTCGTCGCCTTTATCCTTCTCCTTTTCTAAACTTATCTCACTAAATTATGCTTCTTGAATAATTTCTTCGAAACCTAATGCGTTAGCGAGCGATGTTTTGTGGTATAGGGATAAACTGAAAGAAATAAAGTGGCGGCCAAACATGAAAGAAATCCATGAAGTCACTGACAACTGGATTGAGCTCTGTTAGTGGGTAGGCGTTCGCAAGATGATAGTAACCGATGGTTAGAGACCTTGACCGACATGTCTCAAAACGGTTTGCAATGGCGCAGATGCATCCATTCTTTGTGTTCTCTCAAATTCTAATCTTCTGAGTTGATCTCGACCTTTTGTTTCTTTTTAAATTTATTTCACTGGATTCTACTTCTTGACTGATATCTTCCAGCGGTAATCTTGTTGACTACCGCTAATACTTCTACTATCTCTGCCATTATGGGATTCGAATTGACAGTTCGTTTTGTCTGTGCTAATGTGGTATTAAAACTTGAACTGATGTACGTAGGTACGAAGTTCTACGTTGTGATTGACTGACTGACTGACTTGCTCATATGTTTGTTGATGATATTTATAATCGCTTGGTAAATTGGATTCAGTCAGTTGGTTTTCAGCCATGACATTCGAGATCTCGAACCATCGATTACTATCATCTTGCGGACCCCAACCCGGTAGTGTACATTTACCAACATGATTCAACCCCATTGTCAGTGACTCTGTAGTGCCTCCACATATATTCCAGTTCCCTTATATCTAACTTGGTTAAGCACTTTCGACTAATTTATTTAACGAAGCCATTCGCGTAGCAGCAACTTATATGTACCATTCGTTCTTATTATTATTGTCTGGTTTGTATGAGCTCACATGACGTGTCCCACTTTTCATTTGACCTTG